AGTGAAAAGCTCCAGTATGAAAACTACTGACTCTTTTAGCTGTCTATAAAAAGGCTGAGCGAGCTTCAAAATGCAATGGAAAAGTAGTCTTGATGTAGAAAAATGTTTTCACAAAGAAGGTGAGGGTGGAGGACAGTGTGAGAATTCAACTTTACATTACAAGACAAGAGCTCAAGAGTTAAGCATCCACTATAAACTAGTTAATCTACTATCAAAGTTCTGCCTCGTGTTTTGGTTTTTCTGTTTTCCAGGGCAGTGTTGCTGCTTTTATGCAGAGCTGTTACTCAGAGTTGCCTCATAAAGCAAACTGCATCTGTTCCATGGGGGTCAGACCTGGATGTGTTAGTGTTAGCACAGCAGAGCGGACCATGCATGAGCTCAGGGTTGATGCACACAGCAGATGACCTTAAATAATCTGTAACCTTAAAAAAAAAAAAAACTCATGCACAAAGAGAGAAAGAGGAAGAGGAAATAAAGTGAGACAGAGAGTTGAGTTGAGTTGAGCCTTTGAAAAAATAAAAGAGGCAAAGAATTGCGTTGGCATATCCAAAAGACAGAGATACATAACAATGAAGGAAGAAGAAAACAGAAGAGAGGGTTTGGGGGGGGGGTGTATCAAAAGGGTCTATGAGTGTTTGTCAGGGACACAGCGATAATAAAGAAAAGAGGCAGAAAAATGAAGCGAGTACAGCTAAAAAAAGGCAAATGGTCTCCTCTGGTGTGTAAAGAATAAAGGAGTGTGAGATGTGTCGAGACAAAACCAAGACAAACAACATTAATTAGAGCAGAAAGGGTGAAAAACAGAAGAGCAAAGAGTCACGCGAGGAAACAAAGAGGGGTAGAGAGGGACAGAAACTGATGAGGAGTGAATAATGCTTGTTGTTCTCAGTGTTGATCAGTCGCAGCAGAAGTCGAGCTTTTCTCATGTGAATGGATGGCTTTAATTTCCTCTCCCTGAGCTGCAGTCCCTCTTTATGGTGACTGACACAGTTTTTCTTTAAGTCGATGCAGTCTTTAAGGCGGAAACATCTTAATGTCGATAAGATGGCACAGACTCTGTTTAAGGAGGAAGAGTTTTCACTTGAAGCACAGGTGGTAAATGTGTTTTAGTAAAACAGTTCGTCTTGAAGGTGAAACAGTTTTTCAAGCTGATCCACTTCTTAAAGTGATCAATGTTCCTGATATGTCTGGGTACTTTTTAAAGGTGATACACCTTTGGTTATGATTCACTCCGTCATAAAATGTCATAAATTGTCTTTAAAGTGTTCATTTCTTTGAGGATGTGCTGTCATCTGTTAACAAGTTTAACTTCTGTGAGAGGAGAAGGAGGAGAAAGAGAAAGAGGGAAGTGGGTGACAGATGGATAAAAGGTAGAACAGAGTTATGAAAGAGGAACAGATGATGGAAGATTAAGGATGTGTTTTTGAGAAACAGATGGCAGAGAAGTGGACAGAAAGAAAGGTGAAAAGAAAGAGAGGAGGGAAAGTTTTGGGAAGGGGAGCAGATAGAGAGAGGTTGGCTGGATAGCTGGATGGATGGATGGATGGAGAAAGAATTTCAGCAGCCAGATGGGACTCCTGATGAGAGGTGAGCCATATGGTGATGATTCAGCATGGCAGCCTGACAACCTCTGGTTTAACCCCATTTATACACACACACACACACACACACACACACACACACACACACACACACACACACACACACACACACACACACACACACACACACCACTCTGTATTGACAGTAAGCCATGCATGTAGCCTAGCCCTAACACATGCTACAGTAAACGGGAACCATCCATCACAGCTGTAACTAGACAGAGATGCAGCAGCAGAGTGTGAGCCAAGATTTAAACCAATAATGTGGCAGAGTGCTTCCCGGCCACCTCACCCAACCAAAACCAGTCTAAAGTTATTCCAGAGGGTTTATATTGTCCTCGGCCTGATACAGATATTTTTGTGCCAAAATAACCATAAAGTGACTCCCAGTCTCAAAGAGTAGAACCTCTATAACGTCTCTTTGCCAAAGTTTTTTTTTTTTTTTAACTTTAAGTCAAAAATAAGTAGTGTAAGTGGTAGGTAGTAAATACCTGCTGGTTGATACCCCTGCTTAATCAGCATTTAAGTTTCTTATGTTTTTGGCCTGTAGCATTTCTGAACATTCTGGCTTTCAATATGGTCAATTTTTCAATATAGCTAACGTTAGCATTAACAGGTGTTTACCCACCAGTCCTGTAAACACAATGATGACTGAAGCTCTCAGCACGACTGGTAGGTAAAAAGCTGTTAATGCTATGTAGCACTAGTAAAACCTACAAATTGCTCCTTTTACAATGTTTTCCTCTGAATAAGTGGGTTGGGAGAGTTTTCTCCACTGTACACACTACTGTATGTAAGAGAAGATGTCAGTTACAGTATCAGTATTTGTATGTATCTGGTGTGTACTACCTTGTCTGAGCAGCAGCAGCAGTTTTCCTCTCTCTAACTCCAGACTGAGGCTGAGTCCTCCTTGTCCCACTGCGTGCAGCAATGTCCCAGAATTCCTCAGGGTTTTAAACTTCAGAGAGACGACCTCTTTGGACATCCGCCTCGGCCCGGGACTCAGCCTGTACACCAGACTGCTGCTGCCGCCGTCAAAACTCACCACATCAGAGGCTGAAATACAAAAACAGAGAAAGATGTAAAAATCTGTGCTTTAATTCATTCTTTTAGTGTGGCGGAACGTACTGTGGTCTTCAGAGTAATCACAACAGATAACTGTGTGTCAGAGTTGCTATTATTTCCATGTAAACATTCAAGGTCTTCAAATAATGTCCATACTACCTATCAAAAAAAATCACACACGCACCTATATCTGGACAGAACGTCTGCCTGTTACTGTGATATTGTGGTTTACAGAGTTATGACAGACAGCCAGGACTGAGTCTATGTTCTGTTATCAATACATCACTCCTTTAGTGTCTGCTGCTTGTTAGGGATTTGGGCTGAGGTGAGGTGAGGTAGACAGTCTGCAAATACTGAATTGTTTAAAAAGGGCAGCAGCTGAGTCGTACAACTAATTTCTGACTGAATGCTTTTTAATGAACTTGGCAATTCTTTCACTCCCTCACGTCAAGACGCAATCACTCAACCACTTTGCTTGCACAAATGCTCTTATTGCATTGTACAGTGTATTTCCTGATTACAGGGCAGCAGGCTGAAGCTCTAGAGTGCTGAGTCATCCTCTGAGTGTGAAGCTGCAAACATTACTTTAAATCTGTTCTGATAATCTATATACTTTCACTCCATTCAATACAAGATTAAATCCTGGAATATTATATTTTATCTGATTATAATTAAAGTATACCAAGGATGGACTGGGTTTTGAAAAGGTGTTTAACCTTTGAAAATACACCGTCTCCTGGTTCAATCTGTGCAAAACATTTTAAGACCTGTTGACACAGAATTGGTTCAGACGTGTGGCTACGGCTCCAAAGTGTTTTTCACATAAACAGCCTTAATATAGACCTTACATTATCTTTCTTTATGCAAAAATAAAATAAATGAGGCAAAATAAATTTCCAGCATATTTGTGTCTCTATAACTTTGGTTCAGTGTCTCTTATACTAATTATGATTTTTTTTTTGTTTGCAAAATTTAAAGAGTTACCTTTCAAAGGAGACCATCGTTATAACTGTAACCAAATGGCTGTAGAAGAGTAAACTCTTTATTTTGGCTACATTAATTTTGGGCTTGTGCACTTGTGGGGGTGTGTGGTTACAGGTTAATTCTGTGCAAAACGTTAATGTTCTTGCAGCTTTGTGATTAACAGTGCTACAAATTAAACCTGCATTGATCACTTGTTGGTGGTGGAAATAAGCTGTAGACACAACACTGGCATACTGTCGTGTCTTATACAGTTAATATGGAAAACCTTTTAGCAAACACTTTCCTATTTCCTCATCCAGCAGATATGGAGCAACACAATTCATTTGGAGGTGTGTTGTGCCCACCTAGGTTTCCACCAACTCTTGAGAGACATATCTGACTCTTAAGCTGCTAAAAGCTCCACTATATTAACCAGCTAGTGGCTATCTTTGTCTGTTTGCTATATAGCTCTCAGAGCAGGTAGTGTACAGTGAGTTTACCTTTTCTCACTGAAAACTGCTGCTTGCTGTAGTTGGAAATGACCCACATGAAAGTGGTGAAAGTCAACCAAAACAGTAAAGTAGCGACCCCGAATACCAAAACAATGAGCTGAAAGATACTAAAATGGTATAGATAGATGAGGAGGCATACAAGCAGTGAAAATGAAATTATTTTGGACGGAAAGAAAAACAACACCTACTATTGTGTTCTCTGAACAAAACATTTGCATTATCCAAGAAACATTTTACTGACAGAAACAACAACGAGTAAACCTGTGGCCCCATCCCTTAGAAGCTTTATCCCTGTTATATGACCTGTTAACTGACCAGAAAACCTAAATTTGACACATATTCTATATTAAAATACTCCTCATAACAAATACTTTGCCTTTATTTTTTAGAGATTTGAATGATGAAGTGTATTCACTAGTCATTGTTGGGGAAAACCTGATGTTCTCCTTCAATTTTTTTCTTTGTCTGAAATCTTTTTTTAATGATAGCTGCCAAGACACATTATGATGTTTTCTTTTGCGTTGCCATGATCACAGACTAATACCAACAATGCAGTTACACTGGCTGCATTTTTCATACTGTGATAAACTGTTTTCTACGAGCAGCCATATTTCTGCTCCCTTCAGTATATTACGTTTGCTTTTCTGCTGTTCATGCTACATTAGTTTACCACTCTGCCAACCATCACAATGGCTAATAAACATGTTATTGTAACTTGAGAATATTTCCAAACCACTGGCAATATATCAAAATCCATCTCTTAAATGTTTTTCATAATCCATCTTCTTCCGGAGGGGACAGCAGCAAACACAGTTTTAAGGGATATAAAATGGTTATATCATGAAAAATCTTTACACTTGGTGAAATAACATGATGAATAACTGATGAGTGAATATGCTGGACTCAGAGAAGCAACTCAGCACATATGAAACCTTTAACAAGCTTTGGTGCGCTTTTAAAGGAAATCTTTATATCTTTATACATATGAAAATAATGAGTTTCTACTCAAGCTAACTACGGTGGGAAAATGTGAAGAAAGGTAGCAATTCACAAGAAAAATGCAGGCTATGAGGAGCCTGCTAGCTAGCTATTTTTCAGCTAATTACCAGGAAACTTTCCTCATAATTTCCTGTAAATTAGTCTGGTATTTAGCTGTTTATTGCTACAATATTTCCAAGGAAGGCCTAATCTTCTTGCAAATACAGAATTTCTGTCCACTCTGGTGGATATAAGCATTTGTTTATGAACAATTTTTCATTTACCCATAACATAATTCCCTATTTCTTCTTGAAAATTTTTAACCATCAATCAATAAACGTAACAACAAACAATTTTCTCTATTTTTCCTAATAATTAGAACCAAATTGGCTTTTCTTAGAAATATCCTCGCAATAAACAGCTTAATACAAGCTAATTTTGGGAAATTATGAGGAATGTTTCGGGGAAATTGGCTGGAAAATACACAACCTGTAACCAAAATTGGCTCTTGAAATGTTTTAAGAGAAAGAAAAGGTATTCAGCAGGGTTGTTAGGCTCAAGGACACATGGTGCACTTTGATGTGATACACTGAAAGCAAACATAACTTTGTCAGGTTTGAAGAAAATTTTTTAATTCGATGTTCACCCTGTGGCACAAAAAAAAAAGTCAAAAGGAGACAAACTTAAAAAGATCAGATAGTCTGTATCAATTATGGTACCTTACTGAGCAGACTTTTGTTGTAAAAGTAGTTATTTGTATTAGTGACTAATGAAATTATTGTATGAAAACCCTTTGGAATATTTCTTGTGTCAAGTATCAGCAACTGACTAGTGACATTTCAAAAAAGTTATTTTCCATATCAGCTATGTGTTTTCAAAACAAAATGTACTTTTTTCCTAATTATTTTCAAAACCTTTCAGATAAAGGGATAAGCCAAGTATCAAAAATGACATTGACACTAACCGCTGTGGATAGAAACCCAGACAGTCTATATGGAAATCATACTTTCACATTCATATTTACTGTTTGATCAATATATTCAAGCTCATATGTAAACATGCGCCGTTGTTTTTGATATTCATGAGTATGTTGTGTTTTTATGAAGGGACAATATAGTAAACAAACAGCTGAGAGGACAGAAATCAGGTCAAAGACACAGCAGGAAACTAATGCTGAGAGAAACAAAAACATTACAAACACCTGCTCTTTCAGCAAAATAGGCCAAGCAGGTGATTCTATCTTTCACTGTGAGTCCAACAGAGTTATGAAGACGATAAAGAATAAGATGAAGAGAAGTAATATTCAGCAAAGATGTAATGTGTGTAAAGATGTTCTCATCCTAAATCACAGGAAAACGAGAAATGGAAGCCACAACATGTTTTATGGCTGAAGTAAGAGGAGCAGTGACAGGTTTCATATCTGTTGTTTATTTAAAAACAGAATCAGCCCCTGGCTCAAATACAAAAAATGCAATATTTGGTTTTTTTTGACGTGATGTAATCAGTGCTGATATGAAAAACTGCTGTGTAACTTTGAAAAACACATAGTGTGTGAATAAATCAGTTGCTGATACTGGCAATGGGTTGTGTAATCTGAGAAATTAAAGAGGATCAAAAGGAAGCCATTAAATCAATATGCTTTGTGTGAAAGATAAACACTGCAAAACACTGTTAACAAAGGCAAGTGTGTAAATTAATTGTGAAACATGAATATATTATCAAGAAAATGCTGCCAGGAAACCTTTATGGTTTTTGTATCCATGGAAAAAATGTACACAGTGAAAAGTGTTTCACTTTCATTTAAACCAAATTAAATCTATTGAATGTTGAGATGTACATTTCCTCTATGATGGTTTCCCAGTTTTTCAGGTTCATAGAAATCCTTGATGCAAACTAAATTTCCCTAGAGGTCAGTGAACACTTTCAGCAGGTTGTTTGAATGAAACCAGTGACACCAGTTTCCAGAGATTTTTCCAGCTGGATGAAAACCGCGGAGAGCATTCTAATCAGTAAGGAAGATCAGACTTACTATAAGGACATCCGTAAGTCTCCAGCCTGAGTCCGATCCGCCCGCTGGGGTTCCAGTCCAGAGGAATGAGGCGGAGGAAGCGAGCGATCGCTGGCTGCTGCAGTTTGTACTGAACCACACTGTCTGCATTACTGTTCCCTGGAAAAGACTGAAAACACACAAACACAATAGAAATACCTCAACTGAGTATACATTATACATTTATGTGACTTTGAAAATCTTACAAAGACATATACATGCACAGAGAAAGTTTTTTTTCTAGTTTGCTTTTAAAATAACAGGACTAAGAGCCTACAGCCACACTTGCAGCTCTGTGAGGCAGTTAGCTAAATGCTAACATCAGCATGCTAACATGCTCACAATGACAATGCTAACATGCTGATGTTGAAGCAGGTGTAATGTTTACCAATTTACCAAATGTATTAGCATGCTAACATTTGCTAATTAGCACTAAATATATAAGAGCAGCTAATTAAAAATTTGACTTGATAATGGAGCTAGATGAAATGTTCAGGGATCATCAAAGTGTCATCAGTTTAACCTGAGAGGGAACATCTGCAATAAATTTGGCTGATATACGTAGAGCCACACTAACATGGCTAAACAGATGTATGTATATGGTAAATGTAAAACTAACCAGGGCTTTGTTACTAGTAATCGGGTCAGGTTAAAGACTTGATGGAATAATTAATCGAATCACTGTATGGAACTGTAATAAGAATGTCATTCCACACAATACAGAGAAGAGCTTTATCCATTTATTCTCACTGCATTCTGACAGCAATACGACTGCCAGGACTGCGCCACGACGCTCTCCAAGGTGCTGGATAGCTCCCTGGCTGCTCCTAGCAGCAGGATCAGCATCTTGGAGAGGTGCAGGCCCGGCGCCAGAATGAATATCAAATAGCTTCAGAATTCATTTGTGTTATACAGGAACGAATAATCCTAACTTCAAAGGCAGATCATTTTACCCCACATTATCTGAAATCGAGGACTACTGTTATGCATACAAACTGTGCTTTGGGCTCTGGAAAAAAGCCTGGTGTTCAGACTTTGTCCTGTGGGCACAGAAAACCTATTGGCTTTGAGGCTTCCTCTTACATGCTGTAAGATTTGAGGGATGGATTTGAGAGAGATTAGAGCATGTCAGATTTTAGATTTTAGTATTGAGGTACAGTTACATTCATGATTTTGTAAAGGCATGGCTACTAAACATAAAACCTATTACTGGGAATGACGAGAAAGTTTCAGAGCGACAGAGACACGGAGTGTCACCGTAACCATAGTAACTCACTCATACATCTGCCTAAGAGGGGATGGAGAGATGCTGCTGCTGACTCCTCCGAGCAACATGCATGAGAATAAATTACAATATAACAGATTTGTGGATATTTCTCACTCTCCCCCCAATGGTCTGAACAAGTTGCTGCTGCTCAGTGCCGATGTTGTGCTGCTCTGTCTTGTCTGTCCGTGCGCTGTCAGTGTCTTCTTTTCACGCAGCAGCTATGAATTTTGTATTCATGATGACGACAAGCCTGTTGCGGTCGGGCCTCCAAACAACAAGATTAAGGCTAACCTTAACAAAGTACTTATTTTAACCCAAACCACAATCTTTTCATAAACCTAACCAAACCGTGACGATTCCGTAAGATTAACCACTTGTTTATTATTGTAACCATGACGACAAAGGTCCAGTACGCCTGCAGCCAACTATGGGTCATATCAGAGATGATCTATATTGTTGTTCAGGCTGGAGCACTTGTTGACTCATCTACTTATCACTGGATCTGATACATATGAAGATGTGATTCGGATCAGATCTAGCCAACAGGAGATATATGCGGCCTCTATAGTGTTTCTTGATGTGTATAATAAAGCTGACCACACTGCCAACCTGTTGGATTATCACACTGAAAATACACCACCTTCCCAGAAGCTAACAGTTTGTGGAAGCAGAGCATGCTGGGTATAAAAAGCTAATAAACAGATGGAGAATGAAAGAGAAGGAACTCTTACACTCTTAGTTTGACACCTTTTATGCTTTAGAAACTTTTCCTTGGTGGAAATTAAGTTCATTAACCTGCATCATATTGAAACCTTTCTGCAGAGTATGAAGAGTATGAGCAGTGAATTGTCTCTTTCTGACTCTGGGCTGAACACCTGATGGATCGTTCTCTTCATCTCTTTCCAGCTCTCCCATCTGGCTATCTATCCTAATTACATCCCTCCCTCCAAGTTGACATCCAGGTCAACTGGCTCTCCCACTGCTAAATAAAAGCTTAGACACATAATTAACTTATTAATTCCACTGGAATCATATGAGAGTGGAGCTGGATCTCCTCATATGAAATGTTTGATTGTAATAAAGGGGAAAAAGAGCCAGTGTCACTTATGCTTCCACACTGGCGACAGTCATGTTTTCGGGTTCTCATGAACACAACACCTCAGTAACGCATTGAGGGAATTCCTTGAGATTTGGCACAAACATTCACTTGGACTCAAGGATGAACTGATTAGATTTTGGTGATCAAAGGTCAAAGGTCAAAATCACTGTGACCTCACAAAACATTTTTTGGCCATAACTCAAGAATGAATTAGCTCATTATGACACAATTTGACACAAATGTCTAACAGAATAAAATGATGAAGTGATGACGTTTTATATCCAAATGGTCAAAGGTCAACTTCAGTGTGACATCACAATGTTCTGCAAAAAACACTACAATACTCACTGAGAGTCAAATTGACAAATCCATATCACAAATAAAACATCTCACACAACTCTTCTCCATGTTTTATTCACTAATGAACATTTTCTGCCATCTTGTGTACTGTGTATGTGAAGCTGAAAACTGTAGTGTTAAATCTAATTCAGTGGAGCATAAGCTTAAGCAAAAAAATGGTAATAAGGTTCTCTGATTTGGCAAACTCGATTGGCAGGATGACTTTGTTTAGTGCCAGCCAAAAAGGATTAATTAGACTGTGCTCTGATCTGCAAACTCTGTGGTTAAAGTTTGATTAGATTTATGGAACTGAAACTGCTTGGTTTAAGGACAGTAGATAGCATGCACATCCAACCCCAGGTACAGAACAAAAGCAGCGTGCAAAAGAGAAGGAGAGGCAGTGATCAGTGAAGCTATGCTTTAAGTATCAATGAGAAACAGATATTGATATGTTATTGAAACAGATCTTTAAGTACCTCACTGTAGGTCTGGCACCAGGAGGTGACTTACTGTACTATCAAAGTAGAGGGTTAAAGATATTGTGTTTGTTGTTGTTGTAAAAAAGAAGTGTTTTTCAACATTTAAACAGTCACGTTATTTCGTGTATATCCCCAAAACATTTCACATTGGAGACGGTTTTTTTCCGCAAGATCACCGCTTCTGAGGGACTTTTTAACCCTTTGAATACCCATGGTGCTTAAGCAGAGTATCTGTATAGTAGATTTTGGGATAATTGTATTTATTTTGTATTATCTGATTTAACTGTATGTAAAGCTATAATTTTTTTGCTGCATATACTGTATATCCTGCTTTTTGTTCACATGGATGTTCAATCAAGTTTTTAGCACGCAGACTAGTCAGCCAGTCACCAGTCACCTCAAAGTTACACTCTTTGTGCGTCCAGCCAGCAAACCTGACCTCCAGTCTAATGTCACACTATCTCCACCTTTTCTCCTCATTGACAACAGTCATAATTCACATGGCCACAAGAGGTCCCTGTCCGGAATATGTAAATATAGGTCATTTTAAGTGCCCGAATTAATGACCAATGCTGTTGTTTTTCTGTTGAACACAATCCCATATGGTAGTGTACAAGAGTATTGTTTCTGTGTATATGTGGTTGTGTGACAGTTACTGCAAAAGACCAAAAAAGAAACATGCTTCGTGTTTCGTCTCCTCAAAGCTCTGAGCCAAAGAGAAATGCCTTTTACTCAACCAGTGCCACAGAAGAGTCGACAGAATCTCATTTACTTTTAGAGAGATGATGATGTGAATTCTCCAACACCAGCGTTTGACAGACACAGGGAGGGAGAGTGAAAGAAACATGACGAGAGAGAGATTAATTGAGAACGGGAAATCAAGAAAAATAGTGAGGAATAAAGAGAGGAGGAAGAAAGGGGAGGAGAAACAGTAGAGATTATCAAAGTGAAATGACAAATGGAGGGCAAAGAAAAGCACATGTTGAGAAGAAAGAGGATGAGCAGCATTGTCAGAAAACGAAGGAAAATAAACGGAGAGAAAGAGATATAGTGTATTTCCCAGAACCCACAGGATTCTGAGAAAAGAGAAAAAAGAGGATGGAGTGAGAAAGAAAGACAAAAGAGGAAAACAGCAAACAGCATCCCCACAAACACTCTGAAAACACTCAGACAGCTCTTAACTTCGCCTAGAAATTTCCAGCAAGGAGAAAGGAAGGGACAGAAACTCTGACCTTAGTGAGGACGTGTGGTTGACCTGTTTATTAGGTACGATGCAATCTTTTAAAAGGTGTGATTGGTTGATCAAACAAAACAAGAAAACAGAAATGCACTCTTGGTGATAATGAGCATAGTATGAACAGTGAAATCAAAAGGCCTAATCATAGAAATACCTCAGCAGCACTTCTCCATGTGATGCTCAACTACTGTCTGTTTTTTTTTTATTGGCCCTTTAAGTCCATACAGGTAAAAGGAAAGAATTTAATTCAAAGCAACTGCAAATAATATTAATAACCTTCAATACATGACAGTGTGGGCTGTTTGAGGAAAATATTTAAACTACTAGGAAACTCCCAACACATTTTTTGCTCTTTAAATTTAATTTCCATAATATTTCTATGCTCAGCTACTGCTCAGTCCACCTCTTGTAATTTCGCTGTGCTCCCCAGTCTGGATGGAGGTATGGTGTAAGGAGCCATGGTTTGCATGGATAGCTACGGTCCACTAACAAGTGGCAACTGGCTGGAACATCATGTCCTTCAAGAAGCTGTCTCAGGCCACTCTCAGAGAGCATCATGGCATCATCTGTTGAGCCCGGCCATTCTGCAACATTGTCCAAAATCTTGTAGTCCGCACTGAAAACAATGTGAGTATTGATGGTGCGGTACTGTCGATAAAAAAGTCTTCAATTTCTGATGGTGCGATAACACGGATGTGCTTCCCATCAATTATACCAACAACAGGGAAGCCCACTATGTCCATGAACATTCAGTGGAACTGAAATAAACTACGCCACAGTATGAGGCTTTGAAAGCACTGTTACCGTTTGTGTGATCACTGTGCCGACGGTAGGTTGCGACAGACCAAAGTCATCACTGCTGCACCTTTGCATTTTTTCCCAGTTGCCATATAGCGTTAGTGTTTTGATCATTTGTGTTACAGCGTTATTGTGTTGGGTGGGAGATGTGAGAGCATCTCTAATGAGACTGACCACAGACATTATCTCCGCACAATCTAATCTGTAACGTTTCATTAACTCACTGTCATTCAGTGTTTGGAGAATATTCTCCAGCCTCTTTGTCGTTCCGCCATTTTCTCCTCTGCTAAAGAAACTCTTCAGCCTTTAAACATCCTCCTCCCTACTCCTGACAGTGATTCACCTCTTAAGGGCTAAGATGTTTTACCAGGATCTTGTCTTAAGTGTGTGGGGAAATTCTTAGAAAAAGTCATAAATCTAAGAATTTTCTTAGAGTTTCATCACCAAGAGCAACTCTTTGGATTAAGAAGTGTTATGAATACAGCCCCTGCTCTTTACCCCTGCAAGCTGGAATCCCAGAAGGGAAACATGTTGTGGTTGATCAACCAGCTCTGCCATCAACTTTCCCCTCTGACAGCCTCTCTAAGCCTGGCTGACTAACACACAGGAGTTCATAAACACTTTGAAATGTGACTGGAATTGTGCACAGTTTACGTAGAGTGTCAGATCAACACGTTTTTAAGCTGTGAGAAGCTGCTCGCTGCTCTCTCAGAGAAGATCCTCAGTGCTGAGATTAGCTGGATTCTCTCCATATGAGGAAATTGCTTCAGCTTGGCTTCTAATCAGAAGCTCCTCTCTGCAGCACTGTAACAAATTAGGCTTCGACATGAATAATGTCCACACAAAGGGAATTGCTGCACCTTTCCCATGTGTCTTGCACTATGTGATTTGGCTTTAGACTCAGTTGGAGCATGCAGGTAAGAAACTCAAACATGCAGGAGTCATCACTGTGTTTGCTACACAAACAACATCAAATTACTTAGTATTCCAGTGTCTGTATGCTAAAGCATCTACCAGTGGAGCAAGTACAATTACAGCTTTGTATGGTTGTATGCCTCCACCATCCAGTCTAGTTGCAGTTTACATCCATGTCTGTCCAGACTCAATTATGTATCTAGTGAATACACATAATGAAATTAACTGAGAAGTATTAAGTGTATTTGCTTATAATTAGCATATGAATTCAAGTTATGGCCAAAATATGAGTCAATTTTTTGAATCAAAGTGAATGTTTCTACCAAATTTGAAGAAATATCACGAGAATGGGACTGAGAGATCAACAACCTGAAAACAGAAAGCCTTTGGCCACGGCTGTTGCTGGTGCGGAGGCATAATAAAAACAGCATTTACCCTCTTTTAAAAGTTAAAAAGCAAAGACGGTCAAAAACAAGATATCACAACAGAAGCTTAAATGTTTGGCAACAAGTCTGTGCACTCAGCAGTGCTCCTGCAACGGTTCATCCATTATAAATGAAAAGGTAAACTCATGATGACTGAGTTTATCGGTACAGTACAAACAGAGACACGTACCACTCGACACTACATCACTTCATACGAGATACACAAAACAAGATATGATGATGCTATTGATCCCTGCGGGGAAATAAAGTCAATACAAGAAGGAAAAAGAATAAAACTGTAACTTGTGTCACTTGCGTGATGGGATGGAACAAACTAGTGATATAAAACTTTAATGTGATTGATGCATGTGCAGTGTGGTGTGCCACCATTTTTGATGGGACTGTTTTGGACTCACGCCTAAACTGTCCTCCTGTCTGTACTGTTTCCAGTTGTGTCCCGTGTCGCTGAACATCAGCAGGTACGACGACAGCCAATCAGAGCTGCCGTATCGCCCCTGGGTAGCGACAGCGGTGACCTTGGTCCGCTCGCCCAGGTCGACCTCCAACCACTGATACCTGTCTGAGGTGAGAGGGGACCAACCTCCAGCTCCTGCAGAGAGAGATGAGAGAAAAACAGCACTCAGTAAGTGATTTATTAGGTTTTCATCTATTTGGGATGAAATGAAATGGGCTTTGGTAGATGCTGAGAAATGAATTGCATTGCTTGACCTTTCACTCTGAACTAAATCTGCTCTGTCATGAAACTGGAATGAAGAAAATTGATTGAACGAGGGGAACATCTTTAAATCCATTCTGGGGCTATAATGGGATATAAATCATACTTGAGCAACTTTCCTTTGGAATGTAAATTGTGCACATTTACTATGTGATCCACAGTGACACTACTTCTTTTCATATCCATCTGAGAAACACACATGCCATTTTATTTGTGAAATGAAAATATGCAACACACAAAACATTTCATATTTCACTTTTTAAAGCAATGTAACAAAGGTTAATCATCTGTGTCCAAAAATCTGTAAAATAGTTTACAAACCAATACAATACAGTCAATCAATTCAGAAATCAATTATAGAATTCTGAGATCTATACCTAGAGTCAGATCCACACAATAGTCAGGCAAGAAAACAGGACACTGAAGTTCCTTACTGGTGTAAAAATCTCTAAATAAGACTTATTTACGGTGGCCTGGTCTGGCCTCTTGGGTCATAGCTCAAGCTCATGGTCAAGGTGTTCCACTCGGTTCCAATTAGCGCTCCCCCTAGAGGCCCGGAGCACTTCCGTTGTGTTGCGTGAATATGCAGCGCTTTTTCCTGTTGCATTTGTTTTGGGGGTTTGTGTGTGTCTTTGTTGTTGCATCATTTCTGTATTTGCAGCGTGTTTGCTGTTAATGTCTTTGTTTAGGCTTCCCGCAGCATGTTTTTTCATTTGCAGCACGTTCCCGTTGCTTTAGTTTGTATTTTCGTATCTCTTTTTGAATCTGCATCGTTAATGAATTTGCAGCTTGTTTCTCCTTTTGGAAGTGTCTTGGGCCGCTGCAGTGCGTTTGCCGTTGTCGGCCACCGTACTTATTAGACGGCACAGCACTCTCCACTACTATCATCATCAAAACTCCCAAGTGAGGGAATATCTGAAGAGGCTCATGTTGAAACACATATTAAATATCATAAATAAAGGGCTGTCTTACATTCTGTTGATTGGTTGAGATTTTTCCCTGCAGCAAATTAAAAATGTGGTAGAGCGGAGTGAGTTGAATTATTAAAGAAAGGTGCACTATTTCAGTGCCAACCTTTCTGATGCAAAATAGCATCAACAATGGCCTTTGATTTAATAAACATAACACTGTATTTAGGTCACTGATTAATACATACAGTATTATGTAGCACAGCATTATGTAGTACATCATCCTGTATTTAAAGTTGTTAGGACATTGTCTTGTTTTCAAAATGCTTCAGTCTTCAAAAACTGTAGTGTAAATTGTTGTTGCAGTACCAGACAGTGTGTTTGTGACCGTGCACACTGCCCACATTGCATGTATAAATGTGGGTGGTGGGTGTTGAGAGAAGTCTGCCGGGATAGATAAACTGGGGTTGATTGAATGGGCTGCTACACAATAAAGACACTTCAAACACTGAAAAGTAGCCTGTGCGTGCATGCGTGTGTGTGTGTGTGTTTGCGAGTGTGTGTGTGCCTATGCGTGTGTGCCTGTGTGTGCGTGTGTGCGCGTGTGTAGGAAAATGCTTTGTCAGGCCAAAATGTCGACACAGAGCTCAAACACCAGATGGACGGATTCTGGTAGAGGAGGCTGCTGACCGGCATCCCACTGAGCACACACACAAACACACAGGCAGCGTGTCAGAGAGCCCTACAAAGAACAAACACAGTGAAAGTAGATTAAATGCCACTTGACTTTCAGAAAGACAATGCAGTTGTCTTCCTTCCACCAGCAGGATGTCAATATTTTGGCCACCATCTGCTGCATGCAGAAGTTACTGTAGTTACAAGCTTGGTATATTGTGTATATATATGTGTAAACATGGTTTTGGCAAGACAGAAATTAGAAGCTGAAGGCAAACCGTTTCTGTATTTGCAAGTCTACTCCACTAATATGATAAAATATAGAACAGGGTATTCACCTAATGCCAGGATCAGACTATACAACATTTAAACACCTGCTGTGATCTGGCTGAAAGACACATCAGACAACACATTGAACCCTGATCAATCATAGCTTGCGGTCTTTCATGCCTTGCATCATGTTCACAGGTATTCAGGCAAGGGGGTGGGGGGGGGTGGGGGTCAGTGAAAAGACTTTCCATAACAGGACTGCCAACAACTGTGTCGTCACTGAGCATGTAGTAGACAAAAAAACATTTGGTGTGCTAATCTGTCTGTCGAGGCCTCCTGAAACATCTGAGACACATAATGAGTATCCACACGACAGATGAAACAACAATATTATGTGGTCTGATCTCTGCATAATGTAAGATGTAATAGTTCTCAATTTATTACCCATTAGAAGTGCTGATTTGGCCTACTGCCTCCTCTCGTTAGCATTGCAGACACTTTTCAAACCACTAAAGAATACCGTAGCACAACAAAACCAAACTAACCTCATCTTTTATTAAGTCCACTGATCTTTTGTCTAGTGCCAATATCAGGTCAGAAGTCTGTCATGACCAACACTTTGGTTCATGACAAGGCATTCAAAATGTTAATTGCCAGATTTCATTGGCATACTCTGTGAATATTCATGTTCCCCAGAGGAGGAATCCTAGTGTCTTTTTGTTACCTCTAGAGTCACGATCATGTTTAAATCCAGACTTTTACACATATAATATACATATAATAAATAAGTAAATACTAATATGTAACAGGAAATTTGATATAAAAATCACTGAGTACTTTCATGCTCTCCAGAATTGAAATCTTTTCACACGGTACCACACCTAGACTAAAATATTAACTTCAGGCACAAGATACTCAAATTAAGTACAAACCCTTTTAATGAGCCACACAATTATACTTTGTTTGCTGTTATCTTCATTAACGTGAGCCATCTGAAATATTCTCATTAATTACACTGTTGGAGCATTCATGTCTGTCTTTCTTGAAATTGCCACTTTGTGATAACTGATTGAAACCCTCACTAATGCTGAACTACTATTAGTTTCATACGGTGATGTTAGAGGATATATTCCCACCCTGAGTATCATGTAGGTTCAGGAGAGAAACAGCCGGACCTTCAACAGCTATTGTTAATAGTGAAAAATGTCTGTGAACAGTGTGGATTGGCAGGTCAAGGAGAAAAACTCAGCAGTGAAAGCGAATCAGTGTCGGTCTGGTGGCCAGTGGAGCCTGATCTTTACAGAACTAAAGGCCAAAGCTAATAAGCACTTGACTAACAGACGTGTCCAGTGACAGCAGAACGGAAAAGAGCAGACACTCTGACCTTTACTCATGAAGATTAGACTGTAGAGAAAAGGAGAGAAAGATCAGAGGAAATGACTCCGAGACTGAGGGGCGTTAAAAGATTTACTGTGTCCACCCTGTCGGTATAACTGGAACTAATCTAACCGAGGTGAACTGATGGCTGAGGGTCTCAATACTTTGTTTCACGGCTGTCACTTTACATCAAAGAGATCTCCCTGTTTTTCTCCTCAGTGTCTGTCGAGCTACCAGATCCGACCACCCACTGAGAAAAGTACAAGTTAATGGAGGCCAAGAATGAACAAAGGAAGAAATGATCACTGTAGCCGAACAAATTAGGGAACAGTGAGACAGTCCTGATCGAAATATGGTAATGTAAAACCAAATTGACGGGGACTCAGGCCACTTTATATCCAGTTTGATACAGTATTTTGTTCTGCTTTGTTTCATTTGTTCAGTGAAGTTAAATAAACAGCGAGTTCGCTCTTTTTTTCTCTTTTAGTTTCCTCTGGGAAATTTCACAGAGAGTCAACACACTGACAGTTGCCATAGTCTGACCTATTGGCCAATGAGCAGCTGCACTGGAGCAATTGGGTCCAAGGGTTTTTCTCAAGGGCACCTCAGTGGTGGTAATGAGGGAATGGCAACTCCTGCCTTTTCACTTTTCCCATCCAGATTTATCCAGCTGGTCTAGGGATTTAACCATCAACCTTCCAGTAACAAGCTCACTTCTCTCAACTTTAGGCCATCGGTTTACTCCACTAAGTAACTCATTATTATTTACATTGTGTCATGAATAGATCCTCAAATACTTTCTTGCAGTAACGTTCCACTATTGGGTCGGTATCACCTAAAATGAGCAAATACAGTGTTAATTTAGCTAAATGGGTATCATTACTACACAAGTTACCCAAGTCAAGCAAAAATGTGCAAACATTAAACAGGATTGCTATTTTTATAAATGCAAACACTACTAAAAAGTATGGGCTACATCTAATACAGCTCCTAATATTCGCATACAGTAGTGGATGGAAACGTGCATTTACATTTGGATGAAAACCTGGCTACTGTCCTGAGAAGAGTGAAAACACTTGTTGGGTGGACTGGCTGTGCAGGGCCTTTGAAAGTAAAACTGACGTGATCTCACACTAACATTTTCCGGTGGTGTTCCCAACAATCTCCGTCCGCACTGAAAGGTCTAAACAATCAGAAAATGGCTGAATCTCTTCTTCTTCTTCCCCCTCTTGACACTTTATTAAATGACATGAAAGCACAGCCCATGTCTGGTTTTCTGTTTTCTCCATATATACACCAAAATATATTTTCAGATTTAGCCCTTTGGGAGATCATGTTTGAAAAGCTCAGTTTTGGACTATGAAAAATTTTGGCTTAGTGTGGATAGAAAGTCAAAAAAGAGAGAAAAAGATGTTTTTTCTATTGCTGGCTGAGTGTTCATGTCATCTTTGTGTAAGGTTAATTTAGAAATAATATGAGATGCAGCACAGCGCCTGGTCGAGCATGGCTGCTTCTCATCAGTTCACTATGAGGAGCAGATGGATGGATAACTAAATAAATGACTGTTTCATCATCAATAATGCACTGACATTCCATCAGACAGCTAAAGAGAAGGAGACAGGCTGAATGTGAGACAGTCATGTA